AATCCAAGAAGTAGACATTTTAGGACATAATGATCTAAATTCTGTAGCTTTCTTCAGAAATTTAATCAAAGATTCTTCCATTTGTTATGATTTGCCCCTTTTTGTGTTTGTTTAACCTCTTCTCTGTTATTTTGTTCAGGTCAGCTGCAGCTCTTCTCAGGAGCCATCCCCCTCCCTGTGAACCTCCTGGAGTGCTGCAGCTGAACCACATCTCCACGATTGCCCTCACCCTATCTCATGCCCTGCTGCCAGTCCTCAGCGTGGACTTGTTTTACCCAGTCGCCTGGTTATGGAACGATTTTGGTTTCTGTTTTTTGGTTCCCACAGTCAGTGGAGGAAGTTTGGTTATTTAAACACTTTTTGAACTCAGGTTAATGACTATTATTCCTGTGATTGGGTTACTGCCAGCAAACCCAGAGCCTTCACCACACTGGGCTTGATGAAGCTCCAGCTTGTTGCTCCATCCCAACTTGGAGAAAGTATTTGGTCATGTTGTCCAACTTGGAGGAGCTGACTCTTATCGTCTTCATGCTCGCTCAGCTTTGACCCGCCCCAGCGCTCCATGAAGGTCATGGTGTGTGGACATCTACAGAAGCAGAAACCAGACCTTCCCAAACCAGATGTTCTCCTCTCTGCCATTCAGATCCTCTCCCACAACTTGCTTTGGCTGTACAAGGACAAGATGGCCTGCATAACACAATAACATCGTGAAAGGGAATGTCGAGGGAATGCAAGGTATTAAAATGGAATTAACACCTAAAGCAGGAACATTTTACACCAGCTTTGATTCAGGCAGGTTCAGCTCTGAAGATCTGGGTAACTAAAACATAAAATACTCATGTGAGTCTTAAAGGTTTACTTGACCACTATTGGCTGAAAGTCTAACCAACTCCAGCCATGATCCAACACCTGTACCTGTTCATTCTGGTTGTCTGCTCAGATCTGGTCTCCCAACAGTGTTTACAGACCAGCTCAGAGATCTAAGCTAGAGTTGTTTATTAGCAGTAAGATGCTTTAAATGTACTAAAGTAAACTCATGGGGCATTTATGTTGAGGACGTAGGTCCTGAGTGCATACTGATGCAACAGCCTGCTGACTGAGGATGTCCTACAAGTGTAAAGAACTTTACATTTGCTGTCTGCTAATGTGAACAACGGCTCACTCTGATCAACTTCTGTTTCTGTCCTTGAATTCTCTGAGGCCAGGACTTCCTTGTTTTAACGTTCTACAAACAGACGTGGAGAATCGCTTTTTTCGAGTGTTCAAATGAACGAATCAGTTCCCTGTTCCATCTATTTCTGACTCCAATTGGGAACAGGATGGCAGTGGAACTCCAAGCAGAGCTGTCATCAACCTCTCCTCTTCATCTTCTTCATCATCTTCTTCTTCTCCTTCATCATCATCTTTTTCTTCATCATCATCTTCATCATCTTTTTTCTTCATCTTCTTCATCATCATCTTCTTCTCCTTCATCATCATCTTCTTCATCATCGTCGTCATCATCATCTTTTTCATCATCTTCTTCTTCTTCTTCTTCATCGTCATCATCGTCATCTTCTTCATCATCTTGTTCATCTTCATCATCTTCATCTTCTTCTCCATCATCTTCTTCTTCATCTTCTTCATCATCATCTTCATCATCTTCTTCTTCATCTTCTTCATCATCATCTTCATCATCTTCATCTTCACAAGCCACTCACAATCCCCCGGAGGCCATCCGAGAAACGGACAGACTCAACCGTCTGGAGAAGCTGCTGCACTCAGATCCAAATCCAGTTCTCTTGAGTCCTGCTCTTCATTTGTCCGACGCGTAAGGCACCAACTCATGTCCAAGCTGGAGCAGCGGATCTATTCATTCCAGCTAAGAACCAGGAGGCTAAAGGACCACATCAGTGGATGGAGGTCTTTAAATCTGCAAGGATGGGTGGATCATACGAGTCTGGAGCGTTGTTCTGCAGATGCAGCTACCAATAAATAAAAACCTTGCGAGTTTCTAAAAATAACTCACACATCCGTAAAAATAACTAGTTTCACATCGGAGCATGAAGCTACTGGGACGAGGATCAGCACCTCCAACTCAAAACACCTATGTCTTGACCAGCAAAGGGTGGATTGATGACTGTGGCTGGGGGGCGGAGGTCACACCACAAGTGGAGGAGTGTAAGTATCTCTGGGTCGTGTTCATGAGTGATGGAAGGTGGGAGACCAACAGGCAGATCGGGTCAGCATTTGTTCTGCTGTAGAGAAGATAAGCCAGGAATCTCTCACTTTTGATCTTCATCCCATCAACCCTCACCCATGGTCATGAGCTTTGGTTAGTGACGATGAACAAGATCATGAATACAAAGCAGCCAAAATGAGGTTCCTCTGTAGGGTGGCTGGGCACGGCCTTAGAGGGGGTAAGGAGCTCAGACATCGCTGAGACACTCAGAGTAGATCTGCTGCTCCTCAACGTTGAGAGGAGCATGCGGTTGGAGCATTTAGTCAGGAGGCGCCATTGGGTCGACAAATGACCAGCTAGAGGGATTACATCTCCATGTTGGCCAGGGAACGACTTGCGGGATCCCACCATTAGAGCTGGTAGAGGATGAAGACAGGGCGGTCTCCTGCTGTCTGCGGGTGATGCTTCCCCCGCGACCTGGACCCAGACAAGTGAAGGAGTTAGGCTTTCTCTCATCATAGAACTCCCCCAAGGTGCTTTACAACACAACAGTCAACCACCCATTCACACACTGATGGTGATGAGCCTCATAGCAACAGCTGCCCTGAGGAACACCGGTGAAGGTGGAGCTGCTGCACACAGGTGCCACCAGTCCCTACAACCCCCACCAGCAGGCGGGGACTGCAACCAACTGAGTATGGCAACGTGCAACTGTCCGTAAATCTGGCACAGGAGTTAAGTGCTCGCCCCGTAATCGGAAGGTTGCAGGTTCGAGCCCCGCTGAGTCTGTCACTGTCGTTGTGTCCTTGGGCAAGACACTTAACCCACCTTGCCTGCTGGTGGTGGTCGGAGGAACCGTTGGCGCCAGCGCTCGGCAGCCTCGCCTCTGTCAGTGCGCCTCAGGGCAGCTGTGGCTACATCGTAGCTCATCCCCCACCAGTGTGTGAATGTGTGTGTGAATGGGTGAATGACTGATTGTGTTGTAAAGCGCCTTGGGGGGTTCCAGGACTCTAGAAGGCGCTATATCAAATACAGGCCATTTACCATATCCGGTTACTGGGGGCGGGCCCTTAACTTGACTTCCTATCTCTGGCTCCTTCAAAGGCAGTTCGAAACCTGGGTGTTGTGATTGATGAACACCTGACATTTAAAGATCACGTTGCCTCTGTTGCTCGTTCATGCCGCTTTGCGATGTAAAACATACGAAAGATCAGACCATACCTAACACAACATGCCACCCAGCTCCTGGTGCAATCTACCGTCATCTCCCGCCTCCATTACTGCAATGCCCTTCTAACTGGTCTTCCAGCCTGGACTCTGAGACCTCTTCAGATGGTCCAGAACGCAGCGGCGCGTCTGGTATTCAACCAGCCAAATAGAGCACACGTCACCCCTCTGTTCATTGAGCTCCACTGGCTACCGCTAGCAGCACGCATCAAATTCAAATCGCTAACACTAGCATACAAAGTCCGAGACGGTACGGCTCCCATCTACCTGAATCCTCTTGCAAAGGCTTACGTCTCGGCCCGGCCGCTCCCGTCATCACAGGATCGTCGGCTAGCAGTGCCTACACCACGCTCAGGACAATCCAGACTCTTCTCATGCATCGTTCCACAAATGTGGAATGACCTTCCAAGCACTACCAGAACAGGAGCTTCCTTTTCAATTTTCAAGAAACTCCTGAAGACCCTGCTCTTCAGAGAGCATCTTCTAAACTAGCACCCTCCCTGCACCCGTACCCTCTCTCTACTGTCCACTCCTTGTTCCCTCCTCTCCATGATTGATGTCAAGTTGTTGTTGTTGTTGTTGTTAGCCTCAAGGGCAACATGCCGATTATCACTTGTAAGTCGCTTTGGACAAAAGCGTCTGCTAAATACATAAACATAAACTTCTTTGACTCCTGCTAAACAATGTAAGAAGGTTCCTTTGGTACCAATCACATTGGTGCTGTGGGCTAAATGCTTGAACTACTCCAGCAACCCTAACCTGCTTATTAGATTTATAAACCACACATGCTATAAAAACAGAACTGTAGCTATTCTCTTTTCAGCCTCGGGGACAAAACCCAACTCTAAATACTTCAAATCTGCAGACATTATAAGAGATTAAAAGACAAATGTGGAGCTCTAATGGAAGAACTTGTTTCATTCTGAGCCACATCTCTCCTTTCCTTGCTTGGCTTTACCTCTGCACCATATTCCTGACTGTCTCTGACAGCCAGAGCTGGGCACTACATCCCAGATTGGTGTGAAATTGCCGCCTAACAGGCGGGAAATTGGCTCTGTTATTTTTGGAGCAGAGTCATGGGGGAGCGTCGGACCATCATCCTCTCTCTAATGAGCAGGTGATGGAGGCGTAGCTTGCTGTGTGCACATGGCAGATGTACAGATGAGCGGGAACACCGCGCTGCCAGAGGTAGTCAGGTAAGCAGAGGGGGAGGAGCTGGAAGAGCAGGAGGTTTCTTCAAGCTTGCCTGAATATCAGCAGAACATTAGCCGGATTGTGATTGTCTGCTGGCTGAGCCTGAGCGTGGACGGAGCTTCACACGGAAAAGTGTGTGTGTGTGCCCTGCGATGGACTGGCTCTCTGTCCAGGGAGATAGGCACCAGTTCCCCTGTGACCCTACATGGACAAGCGGGTTCAGACAATGGATGGATAGAATCTCTCTCTTTCTCTCTCACACACACACACACACACACACACACACACACACACACACACACACACACACACACACACACACACACACACACACACACACACACACACACACACACACACACACAGGAAAACAACATTTTTGTTCTTCGATAGGGCTAACGTGATGGAGGCAAGTCAGTCCAATAACAGGATTTATTTGGCGCTCAGTCACTTCTGACCTCAACTATAAACATTTACACACTTGATTACCACAAAGTCTTCGGAGAGAGTTGACCTGGCAATAATGAAAGCAAAAATCCCCCCCCCCCCCCCCTAAACACCTCATCAGGGACACCCGCGCCCATACCAACAGGCGTTAAAGTCTGTTACACTCCTGTCTATATTTATCACAACCACAGCACACCTGAGGAGGAAGCTTCAGCAGCTCCACACTGCCCCCTGCTGTTACACGTCATCACACATCTAAAGCACAACAGCTGCTTTTCAGGCATCTTTTGCGTTTCCTTCTTTATGTTTTCATAAAATTCTGTTTAAGCTGCAGCTCTTCAGAATTCAGATCTCACAACAAGCAAAGGTGCAGCTGTACTTTAAATTCTGCATAGGTCTTCACGTTTTCTGTTTGTAACAAGTTTCCCTTTTGCTTTGATTTCTGTGTTCCATGTTCTCTCCACATCTTGCTGCTGGACTGTCCAGAAGCTGATGGCGTTCCCTCAGTGCTGCTCGCTCTCGTGGCGCGCCAGTGCAGGGGGTAAGGTGGTCCCGCAGGGACCGTGGAAGTGGAACCTGCAAAAGAGGAGGACGGTTACCCACAGGAGGCTTGGAGGGGTCAACGACTGTGATCATCTGACAGAAAACGAGACGTGCTTGAAGCGCTCGGTGGCCGGAGTGTTTTCCATATTGAACTCGGCCACGGGGACGCCTCTGGCTGCCACCTGGGGAGCAAACATGGCTGCTGGATACACGACTGACGAGGTGCCGACCTGCAGGTAAATAAATTATTACACTATTGTGTTGCACTGAATTCAAGCTTTAAACCAAACCAAAAGGTCTTCATATGATCTAATTTCCCTCTGGGATTAATAAAGTATCTTTGAATTTGAACTGAATTGAATTAAATCAGAGTTCTCTCTGGAGGTAACCAGCTGTTGCTCAGATCCCAAAACAGAGATTTTAAATCGACTCAGACTGATTCCTTTAAAGGGACTTTACGGACTTTTGAATTTTTATGCTCGCGATTGCCCCCTCAGGCCAAAAGCGTAGCGGCAGCTTCAATAGTAGGCTCGTGCACGAGGCGTGCATGCTGTACGTGCACACTCCTTAACGAAAATAACAGCTGAGACAGTCAGCTACGTGTGTGTGTGTGTGTGTGTGTGGCCCGGAGGACAGAGGACAGGAGAACGTGCAGCTAATTAATTAAATAATGTGGTTCTGTAGCTTTCTCTTCAGCACAGCCGACAAAGGTTTATGATGGGTCAGTCCTCCTGCGTGCTCAGATCATTCCCTTCCCTTGCTTGAAAAATTGTTCCAAAATGAAAGTTGAACCCACATCTTTTTTATCTGTGAATTCAATGCCGTTCGGCGAGTCTCAAATAAAAATTTGGGCATCTTACTGTAAAAAAATATACCATTAATGTAAAAAAGAAACTCTAAATGAACTATGTTCACATCCAGAATCAAACCCAGGTCTTCTGCATGAGAGTCAGACATCTTACAAGGTGAGCTACACTCTAGTAACATTCACAGTATCTGTAACATTTATATCCTTGATGACAGCTGAAACAACGTCAAACCAAAGAACGGTTCGGAGTGAAAATGGCTATTTTGTTGCTAATTAGCAGGAAATATCTAGAAGAAAGTTCTACAGAAAGTAGCTAAGGGTCCTCAGAAATGTAGCTAGCTTTGTCACTAGGCGTTAGGAACAGCGACAAAGTGGCGCTGCCTCTCTCTCTGCTGCTAAAGCTACGGATAGCAAATGCTACGGGCGATGCCTGAGCGTGAACGCGCATGAAGCAGCCTGCTCGACCCGAGCATCTCTCTTTTTCTGTGATTTTACAGAAAACAGGCAATCACAGTAAAAATGCCAGGGCTCATTCTACAGGACCAGGGCATTGCAGGAGAACGTATGAAGAAGACATTTATTATTTCTATACATGTTTTGGCTGTCACACTTCCATAATGTCCCTTTAAAAGCTGCATTTGTAGATGTCAAGAGTGTACATCAAATCATCTGTGGTCTTCATACAGACGGCGTATTTACCAGGAATTCTCACAAACCTGCAGGGCTGTATCCTCTACACGTGTTCTGCTGGATGGTGATAGCCCATTTGATTGACATTGTGACTAAAAACACTGAACATATTCATTAATTTGTTTCTCATGCTGTTTAATGATCTAACAATAACCAGTAGAACGGAGCACATCACTCCTGTTCTTAAATCTCTACACTGGTTACCAGTAAACCACAGAATCCGTTTCAACGTGCTTCTACTGGTTTATAAACCAACTCAAAGGCATGGGGCCAACATACGGGCTAGAGATCCTTAGGAAACAGTCAGCTGGTTAAACCGGGTCAGAACCAAACTACTCTGCCGCTCACAGATGGAATCAGCTTGCTCACGACCTCAAATGTGCCGTTAATTCTAGTAACTAAATCAAAATTGAAAACCTACCTGTATTCGTCAGCCTAAGACGCACCGTCTGCACTGTAACTGCTACCCTTTACCTTTGCCTTTTGTCTGATTCTTGCATCTAATTTTATTTCTTATTTTAACTTAGATTTTAAAATCTGCTGTGTTATGCTGTCACGCTCATTTAATGTTTTATGTTCTTGTTGATCTTGCACCTGGAAAGCACATTGAATTGCTTCTGTGTATGCAGAGCGCGATAGAAATAAAGCCGCCTTGCCATCTAATGCCACTTTCTGAACAGCCTCTGTTCAAAGAAATAGATCTCAAGCTCAAAAACCCCAAAACTGAAGATTCCAACTGAACTGATCTCAGTTATTATAGGAATAAGCGTTTCATATTAATATGAAACCAAACAAAAACTTGTCATTCCAGCGTTTTCCACGCAAACGTACCACAAGACACAGGTCACAGCTGTCCAACACGCCCTCTGCACCGGAAAGGATGTCCGCGTCCAGAGCCTCTCCAAACCAAACCACAGCTGGTCTCAGGAGGCCATGGCAACCCCTCTGTTCGCACCTGTTCACACACACACACACACACACACACACACACACACACACACACACACGTGCACGTACACACACACACACACACACACACACACACACACGTGCACATACACACACACACACACACACACGTACACACACACACACACACACACACACACACACACACACGTGCACGTACACACATGTACACGCACACATTTACGCATGCAACACACACACATATGCACGCACACATGCACGCACACACACACACACACACATGTGCACGCACACACACGTGCACGCACACATGCACGCACAAACACACACACACGCATGCACACACACACACACATGTGCACGCATACATGCACGCACACACACACATGTGCACGCACACACGCATGCACACACACACACACATGTGCACACACACACATGTCAAAACAAAGACATCAGACTGAAGCGGACTGGTATCGGAGAGCCTGAGCGGGCCGTACCGAGGAAGCTTCTCGACGGGGATCTGGGCATCATGTGCTTCTGGATCTGGAGCGCTGAGGAGACAGTCGGCCATGGCTCAGGTGAGGGACTTAGATGTGGTGAAATTTACTGACAGTCCATTTGAAAATAGTATTAAATGCTTTGTGAACTCCTGACAGCAGACTGCACATTCGACCACGGGTTTAATTGTGCAGCTGTGATGGAGGGAACTGTTGTCGTCTATCACAAACATTCATTTCAAATGTCAGGTAAGCTGACAACGTGGCTTTCAGAGGGGCATTTGATGTGAATCTAATTTCTCCTTCTGTGTCATCAGGTGATATTTAGCTGCCTGACATTTGACTGACTGACTGAAACGGGATGCTTTCTCTGGCATTTCCAGCTCAAATGTCTCAAATATCTCTTACAACATCTTTCCACTCTGTTGAGCAAAATTCCCCCAAACCAGTCCAGATGAAGCTCTTACCCTTTGCCCTCCAGAGCAGCACAAATGGGGCTGTTGTAATTAGCCTCTTCGTGGCCACAACTCATACAGCGTGTCCTAAACAAGCTGCCTGCATTTGCAGAAACACAAGAGGAAAAGAAAAATGCACGTTAATGTCAGATGTATTTAATAGCCACGCCTATCTTTGGTCTTTAAATCTTTATTTCTATGTTGCTTTATAGATTTTATCATTGTAAAGCCTAAAATAACTACTGAAAAACCAAAAATTCACAAACAAAACTAAGAGAGAGAGAGAGAGAGAGAGATTATATATATTTATATATGGGCTCACCACTCGTGGGAGGGGCCAAAGGGGTCGGGTGCAGTGTGTGACAGGTGGTAGTTGAGGGCGGGGACCTTGGCGGTCAGATCCTCGGCTACAGAAGCTGACTCATGGCACATGGAATGTCACCTCTCTGGTGGGGGAGGAGCCTGAGTTGGTGTGTGAGGTTGAGAGGTTCCGACTAGATATAGTCGGACTCACCTCAGTGCATGGCTCTGGCTCTGGAACCAGTTTCCTTGAGAGGGGTTGGACTTTCTACCACTCTGGAGTTGCTCCCACTGAGAGGCGCCGAGCAGGGGTGGGCATGCTAGGTGCCCCCCATCTTGGTGCCTGTACGTTGGGGTTTACCCCGGTGAATGAGAGGGTAGCCTCCCTCCGCCTGCGTGTGGGGGGATGGGTTCTGACTGTGGTCTGTGCTTCTGCACCAAACTACAGTTCAGACTAGTCACCCTTTTTGGAGACCTTGGAGGGGGTGATGGAAAGCGCTCCTTCCGGTGACTCCCTCGTTCTGCTGGGGGACTTTAACGCTCACGTGGGCAACGACAGTGAGACCTGGAGAGGTGTGGTTGGGAGGAACGGCCCCCCTGATCTGAATTCGAGTGGTGTTTTGTTATTGGACTTCTGTGCCAGTCATGGATTGTCCATAATGAACACCATGTTCAGACATAAAGGTGTCCATATGTGCTCTTGGCACCAGGATACCTTAGGCCGCAGCTCGATGATCGACTTTGTTGTTGTTTCATCTGACCTGCGGCCGCATGTCTTGGACACTCGGGTGAAGAGATGGGCGGAGCTGTCAACTGACCACTACCTGGTGGTGAGTTGGCTCAGATGGGGGGGGAGGATGCCGGTCAGACCAGGCAGGCTCAAATGTATAGCGAGGGTTTGCTGGGAATGTCTGGCAGAGTCTGCTGTCAGAAGGAGCTTCAATTCCCACCTCCGACAGAACTTCCAAAATGTTCCGGGGGAGGCGGGGGACATTGAGTCTGAATGGACCCTGTTCTGTGCCTCCATTGTTGAGGCGGCCGACCGGAGCTGTGGTTGCAGGATCGTTGGTGCCTGTCGTGGTGGCAACCCCCGAACCCGCTGGTGGACACCGGCGGTTAGGGATGCTGTCAAGCTCAAGAAAGAGTCCTATCAGGTCTTTTTGGCCTGTGGGACTCCAGAGGCAACTGACAGGTACCGGCAGTCCAAGCGGAACGCGGCTCGGGTGGTCACCAAGGCAAAAACCCGGGCATGGGAGGAGTTCGGTGAGACCATGGGGCAAGACTTTCGTACAGCTTCAAGGAGATTCTGGTCCACCATCCGGCGCCTTGGGGGGGAAAGCAGTGCACTACCAACACTATCTATAGTGGGGACGGTGTCCTGCTTACCTCTACTCAGGGCGTTGTGGATCGGTGGGCTGAGCACTTCGAAGACCTCCTCAATCCCACCAACATATCTTCCAGTGAGGAAGCAGAGTCTGGGGACTTTGAGTTGGCCTCTCAAATATCTGGTGCTGAGGTCACTGAGGTGGTTTAAAAGCTCCTCTGTGGCAAGGCTCCAGGGGTGGATGAGATCCGCCCGGAGTTCCTTAAGGCTCTGGATGTTGTGGGGCTGTGTTGGCTGACGCGGCTCTGCAATATTGCGTGGACATCGGGGGCAGTCCCACTGGCCTGGCAGACCAGGGTGGTGGTCCCCTTATTTAAAAAGAGGGGCCGCAGGGTGTGTTCCAACTACAGGGGGATCACACTCCTGAGCCTTCTGGTAACGTCTATTCAGGGGTTCTGGAGAGGAGGGTCCGTCAGATTGTTGAGCCTCAGATTCAGGAGGAGCAATGTGGTTTTCGTCCTGGCCGTGGAACACTGGACCAGCTCTATACCCTTAGGGGGATCCTGGAGGGTGCGTGGGAGTTTGCCCAATGAGTCTACATGTATTTTGTGGATTTGGAGAAGGCGTTTGACCGCATCCCTTGGGGGGCCCTGTGGGGGTGGGAGTATGGGGTACCAGGCCCTCTGATGCGGGCTGTTAGGTCCCTGCATGACCGGTGTCAGAGCTTGGGCCACATTGCCGGCAGTAAGTCGAGCTCGTTCCCAGTGAGAGTTGGACTCCGCCAAGGCTGCCCTTTGTCACCGATTCTGTTCATAACCTTTATGGACAGCTAGGCTGGTGCCCATCCCCAGCAGTCAATGGGCAATCAGGCGGGGTATACCCTGGACAGAGAGCCAGTCCATTGCAGGATAAATATATATATATATATATATATATATATATATATATATATATATATATATATATATATATGTATATTTACTTGTGTGTGTGTGTGTGTGTGTGTGTGTGTGTGTGTGTGTGTGTGTGTGCGTGCGTGCGTGCGCTCTGTCTTCTCGATCCCCAGTGAGTCATGGAGGATGGCTGCTTATACTGAGCCGGGATTCTCTGGAGGTTTCTTCCTGTTAAAAGGGAGTTTTCCTCTCCACTGTCGTTGCATGCTTGCTTAGTATGAGGATTGCTGTATAGTCACTGACACTAGTCAGTGACTTGATGCAATTTGCTGGGTTCCTTATATAGGAAACATTATTTCTGATTGGCTTAGTGAACTGACCTGAATTGGAATGTTTATTATGTGAAGTGCCTTGAGACGACTCTTGTCGTGATTTGGTGCTATATAAATAAACTTGAATTGAATTGAACTACTTCATTTTAAACTGGTGAAGGTTCTCAGTCGTCCAGGTCATGGTAATCCAAAAGGGTTCAAATGAAGCCAAATGGACTTCTTTAGTTTCTCAAAGACATTTTGGTTCTCATCCGAGGAGCTTTGTCCATTCTGACTGGAGTCAAGCTTATAAGCTGTAGCTATCTGTTGTTATTTAACGAGCAGAAACTACTCTGAATACCCCTCCACTCCATCCCCTAATGAGCCGTTAGCCTCTACTGAGAGGGAGTCGTTGTGTTGATTAGATGCAGGAAGGTGTGACCTGGACTGAAACTGCTTAGGGATGAGATTCAAAGCTGCATTAAAGGTACTGGAAAGGTAAAATCTAAGCCCCTCCCCTATTTAAAGTGGGTTTTTCACATTTGACATAGATATCTGCTTTTCCTCCTCTCTCGAACATCTGTCTTCTCTGTCCAGAATGTGTGCTTTGTTCTTCAGGTGTAAGTGAGGCTAAAGTTAGTCAGAGTAACGGCATGGCAATCACAATTCTTGAGTAACTGTGAAGATACTGCGGGGTAAATTCCTGGCGCTGCTCCTGATCCCTGAATGTGAAAAACAAACTTCTAACTAACAAATGTTAATCTGTTGTTTAGTTAAGCAACAGAACAATTTTAAATGATCTCACCGTGGATCTCCAGGATGTTTTTGGATCCGGCGCGGCGGTGGAGCTCATCGATGTTCTGGCTGATAATGCTGACTTTACGTCCCTGTCTGCTGAGTCGATCCTCACACTCGGCGATGGCCAGGTGAGCCGGGTTTGGGTTCTTCGTCAGCATTACCTCACGGCGGTAGTGGTAGAACTCCCAGACACGGGAAGGGTTCTTGTTGAAGGCCGTTGGAGTTGCCAGGTCCTGCCAGGAAATGTGGAAATATCACGGAAAAGCTGTAAAAGCTTTCTGATGCAGAACTTACGTAGCATTGAAGTTAAACGCAGGTGAAGTGGCATCTCCATCCCCGTGGGGAGTGGTTGGGAACTATTTGGTGGTTTAACCCCCTGATCCAACCCCGTAAAGCTGAATGTCAGGCAGAACCCCGATCTCCCAGGGTGTTTCTCAATGCCAAGGAACCTCGCTTTGATGTCTTGGCCCCGCCCCGGTTGCCTAGGAGATACATCATCGGGAGCCTCCAAGGCGTGTTCCAATGTTCATTTTCTACCGAGGCGTGTGTTCTCCGTTTGTTAGCCGTTTAGCTAGCTGAGCGAGGATACACAGGAGGTTTCTTGTAGCCTAGCCTTGGTCAAAAATTACCCAGAATACACCACGGTATTTTCAAAAAGACGGTGGATCAGAAGCCGGCAGCTACTTCGGGGACAATTTTCAAGTTTAAATGTCAGTCAGCTAATTTGAAATGTTTTTTTTTTAGATACAAAGAAGTTATCTATGGTTGGTTAGTAGCTTAGTAGTTGCAGCTTCGGTGGCTAGCGGGTAGTAACTCACTTATATTTTTAATTTAATAAACATAAACACAATTTAAAAAGTAAAAGTCTCGTTATATATTTATATTGAAACTAATACATATAAAACATAACGTTATCTCTTGTGTCACGTGACGTTACATGACCGCCGTGGAAGCCGCGGTCACGAGATGCTAGTCTGTTCCATTTCAATCAATCAAAGCTTTATTTATAAAGCGCCTTCTGGGACCCAGTCGGGAAGCCCAAGGCGCTGAACAAGGTACATGAGAAAAACAGGTAAAAACATTAAAGTTGAAAACAAACGGGTAAAACAAGAGATAAAGAGACCAATGAAAGCAGGGAATTAAAATCAACATAAAAGAAGGCTAAAATCAAACATGTTCTGGAAACGCCAAGCGGAGGAGGTGTGTTTTTAGGCGACTCTTAAAGACTGGCAGAGATGGGGACAGCCTGACTGAGGGTGGCAACTGGTTCCAGAGTGACGGTGCTAGGACTGAGAAAGCCCGGTCCCCGCGAGTACGACACCTAGACCGAGGGACAGCGAGCAGGCCTTGGTCAGAGGAGCGCAGAGCGCGTGATGGGGAATGTCTGTTCAGGAGTGTGGCCAGATAGGGGGAGCACCACCCTGGAAGAAGACGAGGAGTTTAAAGTGTGAACGATAACAGACCGGAAGCCAGTGCAGGGAGGCCAGAACCGTTCAGCTGCTCTTATAGTAACATTTCAGAGCTGTTTTCATGTTTATTTTAGTTATAAAGAACAAAAAAAGTGTATAATGTGGAAGAAAGCTTCTTTTGCCTGAGCTGATAATTGTAAACAGCTTCAATGCAATCATAAACATAAATAGTTATTACTGATGCATTGCAGAGTTAAGTAGCAATGAGTACATTTCGATAAATGACCTGCAGTTGTATAACACCTTTCTGAGTCAGAGGACTCCAAAGATCTTTAGTAAATCATTCATCCCTTCACAAACACATAGTGATGAGCTACACTGAAGCCACAGCTTCCCTGGGGCGCACTGACACAGGTGAGGCTGCCGAGTGCAGGGGCCACCGGTCCCTCCGACCACCACGGACACAACAGCAGAATTTCCTGCAGGGAACTGGGAGTGATCCTGCAACCCTCCAATGCGATTACGGAACAACCCCGTCCATGTCCAGGACTTGTTTCTATCTTCTCTTCTAAAAGCCATGGAGGAATGGACACCAGTAGCCGCCCACCCACCTGTGCGTTCCATTTTCTCCAGTAGCCTCCAGCTCCTCTAAAGGTGGGTACGCCGCTCTCAGCACTCACCCCAGCTCCAGTGATGATGGCGATGTTATTGGCTTTGGAGAAAATCTCCCTGAATGCAGCCATGTCTGAACAAAGCAAGAGACCGAGTCACTCTGCAAATAGGCTCACACTGATTTATTCTGCAGTAACTGCAATTAACCGAGGTTACCTGAACTGGCCATGTCCTGGATTCTCCACGGCTTCCTCAGGTGGGTATACAGGTGAGTGTTTATAATGCCTCTGCAGGTGAAATGGTTCGCAATCATCTGGTTTTAGTAAATGGAGAAGAAATATATTATATTCAGTCTTCTGCACAGTTGGTTTATTCTGAGTTACAAGCAAGGAAGAATGTCAGATAAGAGTCAATCTTTTCTCTGGTTTAGATGAAGCAACAAAAAAAGTCAACTTGAGAGGATTCCCTAATGAAATGTGACGGTTTATGTACTGATGTCTGGGCAGTAACAAAACACTTTGGTGTGTATAAGTGGTTTTTAAATCGACTACCAGTGGTTTAACAAATTAAAATATAATCCTCAGCTGCATTGAGAACAAAGCTTTGATATTGAAAATTTGCCAATGTCAGGTGGAAAACTACAAAAAACACAGATTTTTAAAGGTAAAAACATTTTAATTAATTGTTATTTTCTGGAAAAAAGCTACATTTTCTCACGTGAATAATTTATTATCTCTTTAACCCTTTGATGCATGAATTATGAAATCTTGAACCATGAATTTTTAACAATTGTTTTCATTCATCTTCAGGTGTGAATGAAACAAATTTCAACAAATATTTTTTGTAACATTTAATAATTTACAAATAATTTATTACATGTCCACGTTAGCGGACAGCGTGCGTTCTGAATATGAAATATGTTGGCTTGCCTTACAGAAGTCAAAATGGAGGGGCTCAGATGCAACAAAGTCTTCAGCAGCTGTGCTTAATAGCAATTTTTAAAAAAAATAAAAATCATAAAAATAAAAAATAAAATTAAAAAACGTCCACTGTAATGGTCACTACAGCAAACATTAATTCAAAGTTAAGTTTCATTGGCTACTGGTGTGTTGCGTTCACTAACAACTCGATTTCTACATGTTTCTAGTTTTGATTTCAAAAATATTTGTCTCAGCTTCCAATTTACATTTATTTTATACAAAGTAATTATTTATATCAAACAGAACACCTTTCTATAAGAGTAAATCATGTCAACTGTAGCGATTCAGAGACGTAGAGCTCAAATTTCCATTTACAGTAAACGCAGCATTAAACTATCCTAATGCGACCTGGCTGGCTAAGCTAATGGTCCGATACCAAACAGGAAGTTAGCAAAGCGCTGCTACTTCGGGTTAGCGTGTTATTGCTATTCGGGATTAACTGAAGTTGAGTGAAGTGTTTTGTGAGCTTTTAGGTTTATTAACAACTCCTACCTGTCAGGCAAACGCCAGGCAGCTGCTTCTACCAGGAAGTCAAAGGAGTTATTCTCCTGCGGCTGTGGAGGAATGGATCAGCTGGGAGGACAGCAGCCTATCAACGGGAAGAACGAGGTGAGCAAACATTAAAGCTTTTGACCAGCAGAGGACGCTGTTGAACAAAAGTTTTTACTGAGATGTTGAGAATAGAATAAAAAATAATAGAAGCTTTTGACCAGCAGAGGACGCTGTTGAACAAAAGTTTTTACTGAGATGTTGAGAATAGAATAAAAAATAATAGAATTTTCTATTAATAATAAATAATAGACTTTATTAATCCCACAATGGGAAAATGCACTCGTTAAGGAAGTACACACACTTAGAGAATAGGAAAAAATAATGCAGGTAAACACACAAAGGCAATTGTTTATTTTTATATTATTCAATTATTGTATTTATGTGTTCAGATGTGTAAACATGATACATATACAAACACAACAGTTGGTTCTCAGGTTTGTCCTTTTTAATATTTATTCCAACACATTTATGATCAAACATCCAAAATTCAGCCTAAGAGAAACGTTTCAGGGGCAAACATGCTAAAAAAATGCACAAAATGTCTGTTTTTATTTTAAGTTTAAATTACAAATTGTATTGGGCAATGCTAAATAGTAAAAGCGTTTTATGGTTCTAAAATTTGGGGTCAGGATCTGGATCCTGCTGTGGAACAGGAAAACCAGTAAAGCATGAGTCAGGTTACCATTAAATAATTCACCTCTGGCTTTTATGACACAAAATATAGTCAAAAACATAGAAATACATATTTGACAAGGCTCTTTGGTCAATGGCTGATCAGCTTACCTCAAGTTAGGGTCATGACTGAGTCCAAAGTTTAAAAGTTTGGAAATACGATTTATTATAGGCAGGCTCTGTAATATAACTGTGTTTATTTTTGGTTCCCTCTTATTTCACCCAATATGAAAAACGCACTTGAGAGGCTGGAACAGCAATGATCATTTATTTGGTTAAATGGTTTCCGGTTACAGTCATTTGACTTCAAGTGGAATTATTTGTTAATTATATTAATATAGTTGATTTAGCCTAATTAAATGTTCAGTCAAAATAATTACTGAATATCTGAAAACATGATTTTTTTCTAGATAGATCTGGGTAATTGTTGCTGCGTTAAATCGCGTCTTGTTCATCAGTTCCGGTTCCAGCCTCCGCGTTCTGCTGGACTGAGGATAGGATTTTAAACCGGAGCTGAATCGCAGAAGAAGAAACCTCCCATTTTTCTCTCCGTACACCCCCCCCCCCCCCCCCCCCACCCTCCCCCCCTCCCGTCTCCCCGGGCGTGTGCACGACTGGCTGCTGCTGCAGCTGCGGCGCCGCGTCTCTCGCAGTCCCGCCGGTCGCCTGTGGACGCTGCCCGGCTGACCGAACATGGCGGCGGCTCCGGAGGAGGAGGTGGACCGCAGACCGATCCGGAGGGTCCGGTCCAAGAGTGACACCCCTTACATCAACGAGGCGAGGATCTCTCTGCACCTGGAGACAGGTAGGCAGCCTGCCAGCGTCACGCGCCTGTGCGTTTCAGCACCAGGAACGGGTGCGTTGCGCTGGGTCCAGACGGAAGCTAAATAGCTTAATTGGGTTGGTTCCCAGAGTTCCCAGGTTTCGCCGCGCAGGATGGATGGTGCTCCGCTGCAGCGTGGAGAAACACGCGCGGGGAGGTGATGGAGGAATCTTTTCTGACACGCTGCGTCTTCGGAGAGCAGGACTGATTGTTTCAACTGTCCGCCGGACTCCGCCTTGATTGTTGGCTGCAGTGAAATGTTGCGTGAACTTGGCTGCCACGGGTTGCTCCTTTTAAGCATGCGGTTGTAATTGATGCGTTTGGAGGGGGAGGGGCGACTGGTTCGCTCAGTCTGCGTGGAAACGGGAGATTTAAGTGATTGTTTCCTTTGTTGCTATGGTCACAACAGCACGCCTGTTTCATCTGCTTTTCGACGCAGATTTAGATGGATCTGAGCTCTGTGTCACCCTCGTGTGAAAACGAGCGTGGCTGCTGTGAAGCGGCGGTGACGTCACATCAGCGTGGAGCTGTCCACTGCCCCTCGGTGCTGAAAACACCAGCAACACACTCAAGTTTCGATAGGTTTTAATGGACTTAATGCATGTGATGTCAGCCGCTTGTGTTCTAACACTCCCTCCCCCAGACCAGGCTGATGTGAGCAGTCACGTGACGGGGGGGGGGGGGGGGGGGAGCCTGGTACAGCCTCCCCTTTTCAGGTAAAATTCTGGAAATATCTCCAAGCCTGAACGATCATGTCCTGGTTTGACTTCATTAAAGGTTCAAGTGCGGATGGATAATCTGTCACATGTTAGAAAGTCGCTGTCAAAGTTAAATCGGCCCATATCATTCATTCTTAATAACACTGAGTGATTTTCAGCAATCTGGCTTATTGCTGTCAGAGCTGTGAATGATTTCTAATCATCTCAAAGGTCAGATGGGGCCATTTCTAACTGTCTTGACTCCAGAAGTTTATAGGTTTGGCTCATGATTGCTTTCTAAAACTTTGAAGCGTCTCAGGAGATTATCGGGTTCAGGAGTACGTGAGCACTCGGAGTATAACCTGAGAATTAAATCTCAACATTTTAGCTCAATATGTGTAAAACTGATTTACAGGCGTGTTTTTGTGTTTATGTCTTTAAGAAGGAGGAGCGCTGCTGTGAGCCACGGCTGGAGGCTGAAGTCCTCCCGTCCTCATCCTCACGCCCACGTGGATCGTTCCGTTTCCACTCTTTCAGTTTTCTCTGCTATTCTTAAGTCTGATTTATTTTCTGCCACCACTTAAGGCATCTGCCCGCCCACTCCCAGGGTTGTTGTTTTGGTTTTTGCTGCTGCTGTTTCGCATAAGTCCAGCCCACTCTTCTCTCTCTCTGTGTGTGTGGGAGGGTGTATGACTGATTGTGTTGTAAGGTTCTTTGGGGTTTGTAGAACCCTATAAGGTGCTATGTAAATACATGATTTACCATTTGGCGGGTTCTAAAGACACATGCATGCTCTGAAATGCCATTTTTCTTCTTCATGCTTTAGCTGAGTTAAAGTTCTCTCCAGATTGTGCAGAATTCCAGTTTAGTTTTGGTTTATTTGAAGAAGGATGGCACAAAGAGACAATGTGACATGTTAGAACAATGCAACAATTGTGTTGTCGTCGTCGTCTTCCTCCGCTTATCCGGGTCCGGGTCGCGGGGGCAGCATCCCAACTAGGGAGCTCCAGACCGTCCTCTCCCCGGCCACCTCCACCAGCTCCTCCGGCAGGACCCCAAGGCGTTCCCGGACCAGATTGGAGATGTAACCTCTCCAACGTGTCCTGGGTCGACCCGGGGGCCTCCTGCCGGCAGGACATGCCCGAAACACCTCCCCAGGGAGGCGTCCAGGAGGCATCCTGACCAGATGCCCAAGCCACCTCAACTGACTCCTTTCGATCCGGAGGAGCAGCGATTCTACTCCGAGTCCCTCCCGAATGTCCGAGCTCCTCACCCTATCTCTAAGGCTGAGCCCGACCACCCTACGGAGGAAACTCATTTCGGCCGCTTGTATCCGCGATCTCGTTCTTTCGGTCATTACCCAAAGCTCATGACCATAGGTGAGGATTGGGACGTAGATCGACCGGTAAATTGAGAGCCTGGCTTTCTGGCTCAGCTCCCTCTTCACCACGACAGATCGGCTCAGCGTCCGCATCACTGCAGACGCCGAACCAATCCGCCTGTCGATCTCCCGATCCCTCCTACCCTCACTCGTGAACAAGACCCCGAGATACTTAAACTCCTCCCCTTGAGGTAGGACCTCTCTCCCGACCCGGAGTTGGCAAGCCACCCTTTTCTGGTCGGGAACCATGGTCTCAGATTTGGAGGTGCTGATCCTTAATTAGCCAAAATCTCATTAACAAACTTTGTCTTTAGTAAAATAAAACCATAATGATCCAGAGGGGGTCCAGGTATGTGGTCAAAACGCCTCCTGAGTGGCAGGTCGAAGGCTCCCAGGTCGACTAAGGGCTTGCTGGAGGGATTGGCCAGGGAACGTTTTGGGGTCCCACAGTGGAGCTGGCGCAGGTTGCTGGGGAGAGGATGGTTTGGGCCTCTCTGCAGGGGCCGCTACCCCCACAACCCAGATAAGCAAACGATAGTGAATGGAAAAAATCAAGCGTAGGACTAATGAGGCAACAACACACATGCACAAACACAGATACGAGGATTTTAATTGTTTACCATAAACCTAAACCGTTCCTAACTTTCCTTCACTGGTTTTTGTTGTTGTTCCTTAAATGTTTTTGTTTAATTTCTGAATAATCTTTAACTTTAAAGTTGGTGGCAAATCTTACGTTCTGCACTAAGTTATGTCTCATTATCAGCTATTTTCAGGCCGTTTACATTTTGTCGACTTGGATTTTTTTGTCGTGAGAATCCAGGTCAGACCAAGATGCAGGCATTACCACGCTCCCGTTTAATTACAGAAGAGCGATAATACCTTCCTGAAGGAGAGGCCCGAGACCGAGACGGCCTAAATAAAGAGAACATTGAAGAGTAGGGAGGCTTTGGATGCGAGGACAGGGTGAAGCCTTTCACTTTAAAGACAAGAAGACTGAAGATTATGGTGAGAACGGTTCCCACTCGTCTCCTGCTATCGGAGTAACTCGTGTTAGCAACAGAGGGCCAAACCTGCCTGGGTGGAATACAAAAGGAGGAAGCTTTCAGTTCTGAGGAAAGCTAACATCTCTCAGTGGGCACAAAAGCCGTTCTCTCTTCCTCTGGTGGGTCTGGATGTTCGGCTTTCACTGGCCGGCGTCTGTGCTGAGGGAGAAATCCTGATCCATGGAGAGAAAATGACTCTGAGCCAGTAATTATTCTGGAAGCCTGAATTTAGTCAGCCATGACACTCAGTGGTGACCGCCTTTTCAATGATTTGTCCAATCAGAGGGAGATTAGAGATTGGTCTGTATTTGTTCAACACTGAGGGATCTGGTTTCCTCTTCTGTAGAATGTTTAATCACCTGCTGACTGAAATCAGGTGTGTTGAAGCACAGTTAAAATGAAAATGTGCTGGATACCGGACTTTAATACCCCTGATGTAGTGTAATGAGTTTAATACGGGCACGTGGCAGTTCTGAAAGCAAAGGTTTAACCCGTTACTAGCAAGGTGTACCCAATAAAGTGGCCAGTGAGTGTATATGTTAAAACAATGTAAAGCAGAGGCTACGACAGGGTGCTAAAGCACCCAGCCCGCCTCCTCCCCCTGAACAGAAGTGCACCATGAGTGGTTCAGGACTCGGTCCAGGAAAGAGGGCAAAGCCGGGCTCCAAGTAGGCTGGACAGCCACGGTAACACCAAGTTCGCGTTACCCCGCGCAATTCTCACGCAGCTCCGATTCTGGTGCTGCTGCAGGCAGCCAGCACACCGCTCCAAAGCATAAAGCTGGCAGATTTCTTCAAATCAGTGTAGAAAGTTGGACCGAGCTTGCTCGCACACAAGCCGCTCAGAGAGGACAACGCAGCGCACCGTGCAGCAGGTGGAGGAGAGACTCGGACAGGTGTAGTGAAGGAGGAGCTGAGAGCCGCAGGTAGAGCAGGTGGATGGCTTCTAGGCAGCGATCCGGACCACTGAGGCCATCATCAGGAAATGGGTTTGTTCATTTTGGGTATAAAATAGACCCGTGTCAAAATAATGTTGACTTGTACTTCGCACCAACGGCTACGTCCACAACCCAGAGGCTAAATTTTAATGAGATTCTGCCACTGCGCAGAAACTAAGTACCAGAAAACAGCAATGGCATAATCATTGTTTAAAGACCATTGATAACTATTTAAAACAGCTGAATAAGATGACTGGAGTGGGTCTGTAACACCTTAATGGTGGGCGACGGTGGCACAGGAGTTAAGTGCTCGCCCCGTAATCGGAAGATTGCAGGTTCGAGCCTCGCTGAGTCTGTCGCTGTCGCTGTGTCCTTGGGCAAGACACTTAACCCACGTTGCCTGCTGGTGGTGGTCGGAGGGACCGGTGGCGCCAGTGCTCGGCGGCCTCGCCTCTGTCAGTGCACCCCAGGGCAGCTGTGGCTACATTGTAGCTCATCCCCACCAGTGTGTGAATGGGTGAATGACTGATTGTGTTGTAAAGCGCCTTGAGGGGTTCCAGGACTCTAGAAGGCGCTATATCAAACACAGGCCACTTACCATTTAATCTAACAGCTAACATGTCTCCCCAGCCTTGCTTAGTGTCTACAGGAGGGATTTATCGCTAAATTAAACCAATCAGCTGTGTTAATGATCTAAAACATGCAGGAAACCTGCTGGAGGCGGACTGCAGCATCGGGCATGTCAGCTCATTTTTTCTAGGTCCCAGCAGAGCGGCCGTCAGTCTGTAGTTGCAAGTGGAATATTCTGGCCACAGGGGGGCGACAGGGGCTTGGTGGCCTTTCATTAACCCTGTAAGTGTCGTTAGCACAACCGGCTCAAGATATTTATTTAAAAGTATGAAAAAGTTGCAATGTATCCCTTT